GCACTCTGCTGAGACGTCCAGAGCTGCTCAGGAGAAAGGGCTCCAATCCCAGCTGCATCCCAGCTCTGCCCTTCACAGCTCACCAAAATCTTAACCCATGAAAAAGCAGCAGCCGGGTGACTGCTGAGTCTCCACCTCGAGACAGAGAACCACCAGCTTCACTGCACTGCTGATTTTGGAGTAAAGGGAAGGAATTTGGTCCTAGCTGCCTCGTAAGGTGAAAGGCAATACAAAGAAATGGTCTGCAAAGCCAAGTCCCCGGGCCAACTGGCCAGCAGGCTCTACTCCGAAGGAAAATGGCGATGTTGGCCCGGGTTGGCGCAGGCCGTGGTGACGTTCACAGGAGCACGGCGCCGGGGCGGTTAACTCCTGCTGGCGTGGAACTGAAAGGAAAGGGAGTTTCCCACTCGAGGCATTTTTCCTATTGTAGTGTGAAGAGCTAAGGGGCAGCCAGTTGGCCCTTTGCCACGAAGCTTTAAAGACCAGCATCCAGCTGCACTAGATTTGTTTCTTACTGGGTCAGCACTTGCAAATTTAATTTTAATGGAATGGAGAAGTGATTAACTGTTAACTGCACATAGCCTCACTTGATGCAGCCTTTTAAATCCAAGGATGCTTGCATGGCATTCAGCACTGAAGAACCCGCTGTGCTTACATGAAACAAGGTCAGCTTCCTCTTCCACTTCATTCAAGCAAAGAGTAATACTTCAGTGTGATTTAACAGAGCCAGGGCCGCTTTCTTGCTTCAGGGAGCACGCACTAACAGTGCTGCAAATTCTGGTGCTAGACAGCAGGACGCAGCCTTTCCACCACCGGGCGAGCTCGCGATTGATGCTCGTGCTGATCTGCGTCTTGGTGGCTCAGCAGGAGCTGCGGGAGGGATTTGCCACCACGATGGGCTTCACGGGAGCCCAGACACTTCAGAGGAGCTACAGAGGCAAAAGAACCACCTCAAAGTTCACCCCAGGCCTCACATATCACCCTGCAAAACATCTGAGCTGGAAAGACAGAAGTCTGGGTGCTACCCAGTCCCGAGCGCTGCCTTGGGGCCCCGGGTGCTGCAGCGGCCATGGGCAGCGGGTCTCAACACAAGGAATTCCTCACCACATGGAATTCCTCACCGCAGCACGCGGCAGGGCTGCTGCACACCCACAGCAGGCCACGAGAGCAGCACAGGGCTGGCAAAGCACCCAAGACATCTTGTCCCGCGCCAGGGACAGACCCTATATTGTTAATTCAAGTGAAACATAAAAGCCAAGTCAAGCCTTTCTCTAAAATAGAGCTGCACTGGTCAGAGGCAAGACTGGCCCAGACACACTGGGTGATTTTGCTCCTGGTCAGGGAATGCTGCCGTTATAATTGGCGATGTCATAAAATGTGGCTAGGGAATAGATCAGAGTGAACAAAGTTTAACCTGACACCAAAAGCTGCAGCGAGGGATAATAAAAAGCTGTTTTGTTTGCTGTTATAGCACATTATTACTTTTAAAGGCTTATGATGTTGCCTTAGCCCAAGTAATTTGGAGGAAGAGCATTCCAAGATTTTACCAGTGTTAACTGCTGCATTTCTCAGACATTTTATCAGCTGCTCTTTTCACTTCCCCAGGGACTTTACTATTTACTTCATAACTTACCCAGGCCCTGCTTAATGAAAACAAGTCCCAAACTTCCTCCTATTATGGGACCATCCACTTCAGGACAATAAACCCCGGGTTTCTCTCGCCTTGGGAAGGAAGCCCCTGTAGGCGCCTGTGCACAGGCAGCTTTCTGGCACGAGTCCCTTTGGAGCCACCACGAGAACCGCCAGCACCCACAGGTTTTCCTGGAATTCTGTCAAGTTCATCTGCAAGCCAGGAGTTATCAAGGTTGTCTTCAAAGTCCCTGAGCCTTTTCTCTTTTTCCCCCTTTTTTTGAGCTAAGCCATGCTGCTCCCAGCTCTTTCAGACATGACAGCAGTTTACAGAAGCTCTCACGAAACATCCCTGTGGAGCCTCCTGGCCCCGAGCACTGCAGGAATCCCATTCCCCTGCTCTTTAGGGTGGGTTTCAGGGGTAGGAGCACAGCCACAGCCACGTTTGGGCTCCCGATGCCGGCAGCGAGGCGCGGGCCCTGCCCCGAAGGTGCTGGCTCCGCTCGGCAGCTGCCTCTGGCTGTGAAAATCAAGCTCTGATAAGTCTGGAGCTGGGCAGGATGCTCAGGAAATCACATTAGGTTGGAAAAATGCCATTATTGTTCTCTCGAACCCTCAGCAAGTTGCCTAATTCCCCCTGGGACCTAAAGAAGGCAAACATTGGTTACACAGCGATTCCAGCTGTGCCACTTCTTACCAAAGGGAGGAAAAAAAAAAGGAGGAAAAAGAAAAAAAAAAGAGAGGAAAAAAAAAGGAGACAGTGCTACCAGCAGCAGCACTATGATTAAACAGCCAGACAGGCAAACAAGCAGCAGTTGTGATGTCCTGTTCAAGCACAGCAGCCTGTTCTAATGAGCACCACGAGCTGCTCTTGCAGCTGCACAACTATTTCCAACAGGCTCCACAGGCCCCTTCCAGCCAACCTCTCCAACAGGGTGAAGGCAACTGAGTTACAGACTCATACCCAGTCTGTCACCCTGGTTTATAGCTGCATGCAATTCCATTTTTTCCCTCTCCTCAATAATTCTTAAAAAAAAAATCTGGCTGCAATTTCAAACAGCTTTAAACTATTTGTTTAATTTGAAGAGCAAAAGCTGTCTGTTAATGACAGTGTAATATGTAATGTTTTTAGTACTGCAATAGAGTTTAAAAACCAGTTAAATACTTTCCCTCAAGAAGTCCTCCGCTGGCTGACTTATTTCCACACGCCTAAAAACACTTCCCTTCGTTCCCATGATTGCACTCCACGCTCGCCAAGAGGAAGGAACGTGGGGCAGGACGCCTGCTTGCTTTCCAGCCATCCCGCGGCGTGGAACGACAGCTATCTGCCCTTTCAAGCCTGAGGTCATTCTTATTTGGTCAAGACTGTTTAAGTTGTAAGAAAAACAAATCCCATCTCCAGTGGTGAGTCTGGGGGGGTTGCTCTGCCCGCAGCCTCGCACAGCGGAGATGAGAGGAATTAGCATCCACGGGCTGGAAGCAGCATCCAGGAGGCTTCTGGCCGAGATGTCCATCGAGCTGCGTTTCCCCTGTGCTAGTCCAGCCTGGCTACGCTTTAGTGTGTGTTGTCCTAACATCTTTCCCTTTTTCCCTGGGGAAGGAAGCTCCATAAAATTCAACCCTTGAGCAAAGAACTCCAGCTACTAAAAATCCATCGGAATGCTGGAACGATGGCATGGCAGCAGGAAGCTGGAGAAGCGACACGGCCGTGCGGCACGGGCTGCCCGCCCGCGTCACCGACCCGGCTCTGCAGCCCTGGGCACAGCCTCTGGTCACCTGTCCTGCACCCCAGGGCAGCGGGCACGCGGCAGCCCCCGTGCACCCCGCTCTGCGCTGCGAGGAGCGGCCGGGCTGGCAGCACCCCCGGGACAGGTGCTCCACAATCCCCCTCGTTCCTGCGCCGTGACAACGAGCTGCAAACAGGCGGCCTGAGGTCAGCGCAGCGGCAGGTGGCCGTGCCCAGCCCTGGGCACGGATGTTTGCCATTGAAGTGATGCCTTTCCATGAAAAGGAAAAGCTCGAGGGGGAGAGACACCACATAAGGCGCTCCAGGAGCCCGGGAGCACCACGAGTCCCGGGGGCTGCCCCGCCAGCCGTGCTGCCCAAACGTGGAGTGCAGGGCTCCGTGCGGCCAGGCCGTCACTTCCCTACCTGGGTTTTGCAAGCCCCAGGTAAGGAAACACCATCAGTGCCTGGAGCTGGTTCCAGGTAGATGCTGCTACAGCAAGTTAACCCAAGGGCCTGGCTTACACTGCATTCAGCAGGCAATCATTCTGCATTCACAGCGGTTAGACTCCTAGTTAGCAACAGGCACAGCAGCTCAAGTTAAGTCTAACATTATTGCGGTTAACAGAAAAGCTGCTACCATGATTACTTCTCCCTCATCATTTAAGCCCATTTTCATAGCATTCAAACAGAATAATTTACAAACACAGCACTCGATTCACATACTACTCTCTGCAATTGATTTTTGGTGCTTTTGAGAAAGGGACTCAAGTTTAATTTGCGGAAGTGTTAGCTAAAAAAATCCAGGTTTTGCTGGCATCACGGGTGATGCCTCCACCCCCGCTGGCCACGGAGACAGCCCCGCATGGGGATCCGCAGGGCACCGGCCTTCCAGCGGTAACTCCAACGTCTCTCACTCGTGGGGATGTCAAAGCCCCTGTAGCCTGCCCAGCTACAGTACAGCCCTCCATATAAACATAAGGAGCTAAAACTTTGCTAAACCACCCGGGAAGCTCCTTTCCACCCTTCCTGCTGGCGGCCCCTCGTTCCTACAAGAGATGGGAACAGGTCTCCAAAGGGACACGCAGTGGGATCGGGCTCTGTGCTCCCCCGTCCAGGCCTGGGGCTGCAGCCTCTCCCCCTCCTCGATGCCTCCTCCGGGTGCGTTTGAGGAGAGCGCTCGCAGGCAGCCCCAGACTCCTCTTTGCAAGGCCAGACGCCCCGCAGAGGCCCGCAGGAACCGCTTCCACACACGGTTTGGGTTTTGAGCACAGAAACGCCTCTGTGGGCTCTGCAGGCATTATGCAATTGGCAGGACAGCAGAGGTGGGTTCTCTGCTCAGCAATGTTTTTCTGGGCATGAACCGTACTGATGTGGTAAACTTTCTAGTTGTAAAACACATTAAGACTCCTCCTAGAAATGCAAACAAGCCCACAAGAACCCACTAGAGGCAACCAACCCCTCTCTCCTACCTACTTTGGTTATTTATGCGGTTTTCCCAAAATACTAAACATTATGTGCATTTTTGCTCTGTGAGGCAAACCATGTGTTTTACTATTTTTCACAGTAACTCTACTCCAAAGCTGAGTTATGATCCCCATGAAGCGACATTCCCCGTCCACCAAACGCGCCGCGAGCCTCCTCACCAGCTTCTGGGTGAGCCCCGGCGGGGCCCACTCGTAGGTGATGGTGTCGAAGGTCGGGTCTTTGCGGGACACGATGGGGTTGGTGATGATCATGCGGTTCCTTTTGTAGATGCGGACGCCGTCCCCTCCCTTCACCCGGGCGGTGAGCGTCGCGTACTTGGAGTCTGACAACAGGCGGCCGATTTTGCGGTCGTCATCCACGTCGGAGCTCAGGCTGTGATCCTCCTGGCTGCACTTGCACCACTTGCATATTTTCCTGCGGGCAACAAGTGAGATCATCCTTTCGATATAAGCCGGCCCGCGGGAGGCACGTGGCCCTTTGAGGTTAAGGTTAAACGCAAACCGGGGTCGGACACAAGACAAAAGGCTTTTGTGCCATGGGCTGCATTCAGGAATCCAGCACCGTGCGCTCCAGAGGGATTCGCAGCCGTGTGGAATATAAAACCATAAAACCCTAAGTGCTATCCCGGCACAACGACAGCAGCGACGCTGATAAACCGCTCCTGCTGCAGCAGCCCTGGGGTCCCGTGAACTTCTAAGTGATGCTCAGAGGGATTTTTAATCTCCCAACTTCACCATATCGTCTCCAGCTATAAAGTCTTAGCCTTTGCTGTTACTGCACTTTATACTCCATTAAAATAGAGACTTCTATAAGTGGAATTGATACCTAAACGTCTATTCAATTTATAATGGCTATAAAATAGAAAGGCAAGTCTATGAAGCCATATTCTGATGGCTAACCCTATTCTGATGCACATCCAACTACTACAGCATGACTCTTGAATAAGGAGGATTCAAACTAGCCTCTAATGGAATTAAAAACCAGTACAAACTGAACCAAATGAGCTTTAAGGTTTGCATTGCCATGCAGCTTGGGCATTGAAATCAAGACCTCAAGGCCATATAAAACAGAATTAAGTGCCACAAGCAGCACAGTGTGCAGAGACTGCAGCACTCCCATGCCCAGAGGCCACAGTGGCAAGTGGCACAACTTGGGCAAACAGGGCCACAGAGCTCAAAGAAACGAATATGGGGCTTGCAAGATGATCTCAGAGGACATTAATTGTTCAGCTAATTACAGCTGGATGCAGCCCTTCTGCTCTGGAAGCCCCATTTGCTTTTGCTCATCGTTTTTCAGTTTGCCAGCAAGCAGAGCAGACCAGAAGCTCACTGTTTGGTTGGCTTTCATTGGCTACTTACATTAGCCACTATTAGCCTAAATTTGTGATGTTTCTTAATAGGAAAAATTGAAAAAGAGTTTTTCTGGCACAGTGCACATTAGTGCAAGCAGCCCCGAGCAGCGCAGCTAGCGGCACCGAGCTCCTGAAACAAGGTGCCTCTGCGCTCTGCTTCCAGCAGCTCTTCCATCCGCACGGGGCAGCGACACCCCCGTCCCTGAGCCCAGGGCTGCTCCCCGCTCCGAGCGGCCCGGGACCAGCGGGGCTCTCGCACGGTGCCTTCCGCGGGCACCCCCGGAGGAGGCTCCAGCGGCGGCGGCTGCCGCGGGAGATGCCGGTGTCCCCGGGAAGCAGGGCCGCACGTGCAGCGAGGCACGGGGCTCAGCGCGCTGCAGAGCAAAGCGCATCCTCACGCCTCGGCCGCTGCGTCTTTCAGCAGGCAGCACTGGCAGAGCCGCTGCTCTTTGAACAAAAAGAGCCTGTCCAGAGAAAAGGAAAAAATCCTGTTTTACCGGTCTTGGGTGCTGTGCGGTCTTGCAGGTTTGGGATCGCAGCCCGTTGCGTTGCGTGCACAGCGGGCAGCCTCTCCACAGGCATTAGAGCTGCCGGCTCCGAGCGGCACGGCGCAGCCTTACCCACTGCGACATTACGGAAACGGCCTGAGCGCCTCTCCCCACGTTCACTAAACAGACTCCAAACAGTAAAGAGGGGGAAAAAAAGCCTTTGGTACAGTCACCCTCACAGGTCCAGTCTCCTCAGTCTGTGCTGGCATGACCAAGGCCCTTCGCAGGCTCCGGGTTGGATCCATCCAGATCTCCCCCCTCCAAAGCAGCCACGAGCTGCCTCTGGCGCTGCTGGGCACAGCCCCCTTCCCATCCCGGCCTGCATTCCTCCCGGATGCTCCTCGCAGGAGGCGTCCGCACCAGTCTCGTGGAAGAGGGACATTCTCATGTGGCCCTGGGACTCGGCCCGCAGGGCAGCGCGGCGTTCCACCCCCTTCCACCCGCAGGCTCCCGCCCTGCCCGGCGCCCCTCGCGCGGACGTTACCTCCAGGAGTGCGGCTCGAAGCCCGGGCACGTCCCCCGGCAGCGGGAGCAGGGCGCCCCTCGGCCCAGTGGCGGCTGCAGCCCCGACATCTGCAAGAGAGCAGGACACGGCTGGCACCGGCGCTCGCCCGGGAACGGGCTCCGCGGCCTGACCCCAGCACCGCCAGGGCAGGCTGCTGGCCTGTCCCAGATCCCCGCAATGAGGGTTTTTACCCCAAAACGAGCCTGGCTTCATTTTGGGGGCAGAACGTGTCTCGCACCACGAGCAGCACGGGTTAAGGAGACCAGACACAGCAAACGGGTACCCAGGCCCTTTGCTCTGGGTAAACCAGCCTCAGCTTTGCTAGACACCAGGTTTGGTGCCTACTGCACCGGGACCCGGCCAGGCAGCGACGCTGGGAGGACACCATGCAAGGCCAGGAGCGACTGCCACCGGTACCGGCCTCCCGAAAACGGGCTCCCAGCTGGCTCACCAAGTTGCACCACAACAGAAACCTCTTCACCTGCCTCTTGTGGCTAATGGAGAGAAAAATTCCTTCTTTAGCAGGTGTGCTGAGGCCTGGGAGGACAGGATGAGTCTTTCTACAAACTCAGTGCTACTCGTGTAGGTGCAAAACATCACACAGGGATTTTAAGTTGCCCTCAGTTTCCAGCTCTCCTCGCCCTCGCCTCCATGCACGATCTATGGACACTCCCAGCTCCAGCACCAACCACCTCGGAGCAGGAAAGACAAAAGTAAAATCACTGGAAGAGCCAAAAGCCTAGAGAATGAACCCAAGCCTCCACACCACAGACGGGCCGCGTGTCGCTCACCCACGGAGGTCTCTGATGACATTCAAGCCTGCGTTCCACCAATTCCCAACAGAAGAGTTTATTTGGTGACATTTGGGTATAAAAAACAATTTACTTAGAAAATGTAGCACTGCAAATAAAAATGAAGCAGTTATAAACACATGGCTCTAGAACTGCAGAACCCGAACTACTGGCTTAAAAGCCCATGGTATGTAGGCCTTAATTAGCCTTTTTTCCTCCCAAACTTTCAGTCCACACACAGGACTGCTCATCCCCGGGGAGCAGGGCCCCCAGGACACAGGACGGGGCGTTTCAGCTCCCTTCTCCCAGGAGACAGGGAGACAGGACATTCCAAGGCCGAGCTCGAGCCTGTGCGGCAGCAGCCCCCTTGCAGTGGGAAGGGGCCCAGGTCTCCCACATCAGCATCCCGGTTACGGCCCAAGGGCTTCCTCTTCCAGTAAAGGCGACCACAGGGAGGTTTGTGGCTAGGGATAGAGCCCTCTCTGCAGCACCTCAGACGCAGAGTTTGGTGTTTCCTCATGCCCAGGCGCCCCCGCAGGAGCCGGCCCTTCTCACGTCCCTGCCACTGCAGGGCAGCGGGACAAGCAAGACCAGGACGTCGCTGCCCCTCGTTCTGAAGCTCTGCCGCACGCCCAGGAACGGAGATACCGATGTGCCCGACCACAGAGCGCAGCTCCAGAACCAACAGCGTTTTATTGACCGACCTTTTTACCAGCTCTGGTCTTAATGAGTCACACAGAAGCTGAGCAGCAGCAAGGGACCACGAGTGTTTATTTAAAATACAAACATCTGGATTAAATAATCTCATTTATAAAAGTTACATTGCGCAGCCCAAACAGGAAAGCAGCAGACAGCAAAGCATGGTCAGCAGCGGCCCTGGAGCCGTGGACCAGACAGCTGGATGGTTCGGAGCTGCAGTGCGAGCTCCACAGTAAAACCCGAAACACTGGACGGCCTCCAGCCCCCGCTCCATATCAGAGTTTAAACCCAGGATTCGGCTTTATTGCTTGAGCTTTTCTTTTATTCTGCCTGTCCAAATATGACTTCTACTTCACGTTTGGGGCCCGGGTTTGACATTACCTTCTCCTTACTCAAGCTAACCACCATAGAGGCACCTACTAGGTCAGTGCTCGCCGGAACTTTGGAGTGCCAGGCCCCGAGCACAGGCCTGTGCTGCTCTCCCCCAGGCCACCTGGATGGTGCCCGAGCTTTCGGGGTCCCATGGGGCAGGGGAGCCGGGAGAGGAGCCAGGAGAGGAAAAAAACTCCGCGCTCCATCGCTGCGCAGGGCCAAGCACAACACGCGTCGCTGCCCGCTCCGCTTCCTGCCCACATATGGAACGGCTCCGCGCGGCTCCCGATTCGCACTTCGAATATGCATAAAAGGAGATTTTTTAAAAAAGAGATGCATAAGACACAGCAAAAAAAACAAGCCCAGCAAGATAATGTGAAACAAATGCTTGCTGACTATCTTAGACTCCACCTATGCCCAAGACCATTTCAAAACACACTATTAAAAGAGGAGATATAACAGAAGTGAAATGAGTTCAAAGAAATTTATAATGCCTTTAAAAAAATGCCTGTGTCAACAAACTGCTTGGAAGAAAAGCAAATTCTGCTCACCATGGCTGGAGATACAATGCGTTTTAAGATTTCTATTTTGGCTTTTTCTATGTTACAGCATTCTTGCCATTGAAAAAGAAAGCTGGTCTGTGCACAGGAAATTCTTAGCTAGGAAAATGACAGAAAATTGAGCCCATTCTACCCACAAAAACATTGCAGAACAATCCCAGGAATATGCCAGCTCCAGTGTTACACCATGGCCCATTACAATGGCCAAAGACAGGGCCATCCTAGACACTGGCAAGTTTAGGAAACAGCTGGAAAAGAGGCTGTTGACTAATGAAAAGAAAGGAGGAAACCCAAAGCACGGCTTCCCCTTGCGCTAGGGTTTGAAGCCCCGCTGGAGAGGGCGCAGTGAGGTTGAGGACAGACCCCTGCTCGGGCGCAGCCCTGGCAGCTCCTCCGCGCGCAGGCCACAGTGCCGGGACGTTGGACACGGTAGCGCTCGGGCCAGCCAGGCACCCTCCGGTGCAGCTTCCATCGGCATCGGACAGAGCTTCTGCAAGAGGAGGGTCCTCAAAGGCACATGGAGCAGCCCCCATCTCCCACCCACATCCCTTGCAGACACCCCTACGGAAGCCTCCCCTCGCTCTCCTCCAACAGCGGTTTCCAGTGCCAAAACTCGGTGCTCCAGAGATACCTTCCGTATCCGCCAGGGTGGATGCTCCGGAGCAGCGAGCACAGCTCTCCCGTGCCAAGCGGCCACGCGCACACTGCAAGCACGGGCCCTGGACACTACTGCGCCCTTCCCAGGGCTCCGTCTCCAGGAACGGGTGCTTTCCACAGTTATGTAAGTGGCACCAAGCGGCTGCAGACCCCGTTGGAGCTGCGGCTTTGTGCCCTGCGCACATCCCGCGGGCCCCGCCAGACGCACCGAGGCGCCGCCGCACGCGGACCAACGGGCAGAACCGCAGTGCAGGGAGGTGACGTTGCTGCTGCGACGCATCCAACCCCCTGCTCTGCACGGCTGCGGCACCGGCGCTGCACCGGGGACACCAGCTGGCCCCGGGAGCCACTCCGTTCCAGTGTGTTAAAGACTTCTCAGCAAAAACGAAGTCAGCTCTGCTCTACAGAGCAGGGGAAGAGGGAAAACTGGTTCAGGAAAGCCCGACCTTCCCTCCTGCACCAAGCGGCTTCGCGCGGCTGGGCAGAGCCCTGCGTGGCAGGAGCCCACAGCATCGCTGGCCGGTCTTGGGGGCTCCACAAACAAAGTTTTCCGTGCTACTAATAATGGTCAGACTTTTTGCCTGCTCCTGTATTACAAGGAAAATCAGCACTGACCTTCTCTACAAAAAGTTGTTTCTTTTTTGCACTTTCTTTTTTTTTTTTTTTTGCTCGGCAAGGCCAAACTGTCTGAGTTGTGGTGCCTCACTGCACATAGCAAATATCAAAATAAACAGGCCACATTCACAGGTGTTGAACACATTTGCAAAAAGCTTCAGTCCAATGGCCTCTTGTCCCAAAACTCTCAAGTCTGTTCATTTGCCTGGACAGCATTGAAAAGGCAAGTTTTATTCCAAGCTCTGGAGCACTGACATAAGCAGCAGCCATTGAAACGTTCTGATCATCCTACAACAGCCACTGAACAGACGTGGCTTCAAGCGAGCTACAGGATATCAGACTTGAAACAAGACACGTGGAAGATGTGGAAAGCAACGTGGTCTAGTAGGAACATGTCAGACTACTCCATAAACAATTTCCCAGGTTATGAGTAGAAAAGATGCAATGCAAATATAACAATGTAAAGGCACTTAGGAGCTGCGCAGGGAGGGAAAACAAATGCGCACAGCCCGCTCTCCTTGCTGCAGAGGTTGCTTTACTTGAGGTCATTCCCAAATCCGGAGGCTGCGCTGCCCTCCACAGCACCTGGGTTAACCTCTGCGTGCTGTCAGGACTCAGCTGTGATACTCTGCTTTCCTTTAAGGCCCTCCCCGAGCTCCAGAGACCTGGAGCGCGGTGCCAGAGCCGACCCGTGCCCAGCCGGGTTCACCCTCCTTCGCTGAGGGACCTGCTCCTGAGGAGGGAAGCGGTCTCGGATGAGCCCTTGCCTCCAGGGAGGCTCAGGGCCTTCTCCCCTCCCTCCTGCTGCCAGGACTAGGCTGCTCCTCGCACCACCTCTCTGGCCACGCACGGGGCAAAGCCAAGGCAGACTTGGTAAGTTGATCTGATCCCCAGCAGAAGCCTGCTGCACGTCGGGAACCCGCAGCACAGAGCGGGGACCTGACAAAGCCACTCAAAAACAAGGCGGAAACGGGAAAGTGGAGCCGGCTCCAGCTGTGAAGTCATTCACTGGAACATGCAGATCCAGTACCAGATCCTTATCTGTCAGGGATTCAGCTCGAACATGCCCACCTAGAAGACTTTCAGTCCTCACTTCTCCTGCATATCCAGCACAAGGATCAAAATTTAACCATAAAAAAGGTAATGATTCTGCGTATGGAAAACAAATACCCTGCAAGAAACGGGCAGCTCCGCACAAGAGGGCTGCCATTGAGGCACTGACACCAGGGAGAGCAGCCTGGTGCCCCGCTCCCGGGGCAGCGGCACCGTTCCTGTGCGCCCGCCGGGGGGAACTGCACCATGGCACCAGGTCACCGATTGCTCCCGGCTTGGGCACAGGAGCGGAGCACAGGCACAAAGAGGTTTTGCAGCAAG